CTCCTGCCTGGAAACCAATGTCCCCTCTATGGAAGGACACATGGATCCAGAATTGGCCTCCACAGTCACTTACGGACTCATTGTTAAAACTGTGTTTATGGAAGACAATCTTACTCGGCTACGAGTGATCACCAAAGAAGAAGTATCTGTTAGTGTACTCAGTTTCCGTTCTAGATAGGGAATCCTTCATGGAATCTTGTATGGGTGACATCCAGCTGTATCTGTCTGTCTGTCCACCAGTGGAATGGACTTCCACTTTACTTTACTTTTCTGTCCTCTCCTCTCCCCTCCCCTCCATGCCACACTCTGTGTGGGTGGTTTGGGGATATATGGGGAGAGCTTCAGGGAGGTAAGGGACATCTACTTATGCAACATTGGATTTCACATTATAGATCTCTCTGAATTAGAGTTCTGCATATTTCAGCATACAGCGGTACCCTGGTTCTCAAACGTAATCCGTTGCGAACGTCCATTCAACTTCCGAAACGTTCAAAACCAAGACGTGGCTTCCGATTGGTGCAGGCGCCCCGGAAACAATAGCTGACAGCCACATCAGGTGTTTGGCGTTCGAAAAACATGCAGAAACCGGGACACTTGCTTCCAGGTTTTTGGCGTTCAGGAGCCGATTTGTTTGCAACTAAGCTGTTTGAGAACCAAGGTTCCACTGTAGCTGGTAGAAAATACATGGAATCATGCACTGAACACGAGAAGAAATTGCAGATAAACAGAGAAAGCTTTAGGTGCAACAAGGTTTCCCTACAAGATGAGCCAAGATGGTTTTAAAAGCTCACAGAAAAAAAGATAATCAAATACTATGGGTTTTCATGAATACACACACACACACAGTGTGCTACCTTCATTTTTATTATAGTCCTTGTAGGTTGTTCTCTTGATATCTTTAGACCTAGTGGTAAAAAGCTTTCTTAAAATATAATTTTAATTCCCCCCACCCTTTTAAAAGTCTCACTTAGCTCTAACCCCATTACCTGCTTAATTAAGTTTTGGGTGTTTAAAATTGCTAATCACATCTTTGGGGAGATTGTACATTTTAATCACAATTATATGATGAATATTTTATGATATATATCTTTTGCGTATAATTAGGAATAAAAATTTAATCCCAAAAAGATGTTTAATAATTTATACTTTTGGGGAGTTGATTAAGGACATTAGGGGACATGGGGGAAATAATTTAATTGTGGCCAACTCAGAAACTTCAAGCACACTCTTGTTTCTCAAATTAAGAACTCTAGTTCAAAAAAAACCACCTTACACTTTTGAATTTGAGTTGGCTAAAAAAAACACACCTTTAAATTGATATATGCTTCAATTGAATGAAGTTTTTCAAAGAGGTTTTCATTTCTTAATTTATACTTTGAGGTGTAAGAAGAACCTTCTATTAGAGTTTCTAGCTCGTGGTTCTGTCAGTAGCCATAACACAACATGTTTAGTGCATATGAATGGTTCCCACAACCATAGCTGTCACTTGATTAGTCAAAATGATACAGATCTGGGTCGCTTAGTCTGCAATAGTTCATGCAACACTTGTCTGGAAAGTGAAGTAAAATAATAAAATCAATCAAGACTTAATGCTGTAGAGATGAATAGCCCAATCTGGGAGTGTCCATGTCATCAAAATATATGCTAAAAAAGAGACTCATCAGGAGTTGTAAATGGGATCAAAAGTGAAAATAGTTTTTTAAGTGACTGTTTAGAAATCTAGGATAGACTACTATTAATACATTGTACAAGGTGCTGCCTTTGAAGTCGTTTTTTAAAAACCACACTGGGTTTAAACTTTTTAAATAAAGTAAAAATGCTGATCAAAATTCAGACTTTGCATGACACAGCTCTTGATGCTAATAAGAGAAAGGATAAAACAATTCAGAATCACTAAACCCCATTAGGTTATGGCACTTCATTCCTGTGAAATGACGTATTTGAAAGGAAAATCTTGACTTTTGCTGAAATCTGATGGCCAAAAATATGAGCACAAGCCAAATTATAAGCAGCACACCAAAGATCCCAATCTGAAAATGGTGACTGTGGCCTGGCAATGATCAGTACTTCTAATGGGATAAGGTAGACCATTATCATCAAGCCAATGACTTTTATTTCTCGCAAGAGACTCCAGAAAATAAGCCTACGCAATACGTGGAAACAATGGTCATTTGAACATCCGTGGCCCACTGCCTGGGTGGATGTAATATAAACATGCAAAGTCTCCAGCCAGAAGCAGCAGCCACCAAACAGCACCCCTTGGGCTGCTATATGAATGAAAGACGCTGCAGGGTTTTAAAACAATGGGAGTTCCTACCATTCTGAAAACAGCATACAGGGAAGTTGAATTTACATAGCAATGTATGTCCATGTGAATTGTACTGTTTTACTGTGTGCAGCATTCTTCTGAAGACCTTTTTGCAGGACAAAACATATGGGCAGGAATCATAGAATTGTGGATTCTATTAGAATTGTGGATATTAGATTATTTTAAGTATTTCTAAGATTCACTGGAATCTCAGCCATTTTCTAATGACACAGATCTAACAAACCCCACTTATATGGAATCACTGAAATAGCACTGTAGTGCAAGCCTATGCATGTTTACTAAGAACTAAGTTCTGTTATGTTAATGGAGCTTATTCCCCTATGTGTTTAGGATTGCAGTCATTATGTAACTAGTTCTGCACAAATTCTCATTAATTCAATCAAGACAACATTTACATTCAGGTATAGCACCGGAGTATTTAGGGGCACAGGTGCCACTTGGCTTCTAATATCATATACTATCATAATCCTTTCTTGAGAGACATCTTGTGACTTTTTTTAGCCCTGCAAGCAGGCAAGGATGATGGATGAGTCTATTAGGATGATGGCTGTGACTCCATGTTTCTCTGGAATGCCCTCAACCATTCAGCAAGAGGCAATGACTTAAGGAGCTTTTTAGAACTCAATTACACTGATCAGGAGTCTGTATATCCTCTTCACTCAGCCGTTTCTCATACAGGAGAAAGAAAGCTCATTGCGTATGATTTCTTCTGGCTCCGAAACCTTTGTATTTATATTTCTGGAGGAGAGCTAATAAAAGGAAGATTAATTGCCTCCTTAGAGAAATAATGCCTATCTTTACTACATATATTCTTGTCTCAGTCATGAACACAGCTGTTGCCCTGTCCCAATCATTTTGTCATTCTGCATCATGCCAGGTTATTTTGCTGTCTTACCTATGCAGGCTCCCATTTGCTTACCACCATCACCACTATTCTCTCAATGGCAGTTTTTATCTTGGGCATGTCGGTGATAACCAGGAGAAAACCTTAACTGTTGGGGGAAAAAACCCACTTCCAAAAATACGTCCTATCCAGGTTTTATTGTTTTAGGAGCACAAGAACAGCACATCCTTTACCTGAAGGATGCTGAGATACTGAATGAGACTTCAGGCCAGTGGACATAACAGGACTTCCTCTTTCACTCCTTGTCCCTGCAGCCTGTCCCAATCTGCTTCCAAGCGTCTCCAAACTCTCCAGAGTAGATTCAGATGAAGGCAGGAGTTGCAGAAGGGAGGCAATGGAAAGTCCCATTTGTGCAGGAGGCCTGCTGCACAAGTAGGAGACCCCAACTGGATTATCACTCATAGACTGGGCAGGCGCAAAGCTAAATGTGATCCAGCCCAATAAAAGACCAAGCTATGAAGTCTGGCCTCTTAAAGGTGTTTTGAGAGGAAAGTAGGTAGTCATTTCTTTTTTAATGCTTCCGAAGTAAGACAGCTTCCAACACAGCTGCATATGAACCATGGTACAGGTACAAACACTCAGCATACTCAGTTATGAAGCAGCAATGTACTAGGCATGAATGGCTGTCTGTTTCTGTTCCATGTTACTTTCACATGTGTTAATTCCAAAGTCCCTTCTATCCTCTTTCCACATCCATGTTTTGTTTATACAGCCGTGAAAATTAATTTAAATATATAATTAAATGCACATTTTGAATGTATTTTCGCAAAATACATATGTCTAAACATTGTCATCTCTAAAACAGCTAGGTTCCCATCTCCTATCAATTTACAATCCCTACCACCAGGTCTTTATTAAAGCTTAAATGTTTCACAATTGTTATGAAGTGTTGCTGGGTGAAATGTACACAGATGACTTCTTATATGATTCGCCCTTTGATTTTATCACTTTTTCTTGCTATTACTATGGAATTTAATTTATTAACTGGCTTGCTTTGTATTTATTTTTTCTTTTGCGTATTATTATCAATAAAGTTGCTCTGAGAGTTACCGAGTAGCAGAATATAAATTCATTAATATGCAATAAATCATCACAGCAGTTCTCTTGCTGAATGGGGGCAAATGTCTAAAACCAGTTTATTCTTTTCTGAGAAAGAACTTCTGAAATGCTGACATCACTCTTTAATGGTGCACTACACATCTTAAATCCCCCTTTTACCATCTTCCCAGCCATGCTGAAGACAAATTACAATTTGCAAAGGTAAATTGCAAGCGCCGGACACAATGTGTGCTTCTAAGGTTTTTCAAACTAAGCCTTTGGCCAACCTAAGAGAGCTCTTATTCAACATAAAACTGAATATGTGGTTTATCCTACCATGCCCAAAAAGATAACAGATTAAAAAGTAGATGTTCCTGCTGATAAATCCAAGACTTATAATAGCATTTTTTTTTGAAAATTGCATTTATTAAACTATTTAAACTACTATTAAATATGTACAAAAGTTCAACTAGAAAATAACGTATTTCAAAGGAATCAACTAACAGAAAAGTTTATTACTGTTCAGACTGAAGAAAACAGTGTTTCATGGATAAGCTAAAAATAAAAGAATGATAGAATATACTGAATGATTACACAAAACACTACTTTCTGTGAAAGCATTATTGGAAATGTATCTTCATTTAATCCAGGATTTGCTTTATGCTAGCCTTGTAACGAGCAAGTGGACGTACTTTGAAAGAGAAAATTACTGAAGCATTGTGTCGGAAGTTAAGTAGACCTGCAAAATAAAGAAGCATGTCTCAGAGAACTATCTGAATTTTCATAACATTGCAAATAAATTTTCAACGAAGTGTTCCAACTTGACATAAACCTTCATACATCATACATATCATTTCTTTGCCAAATCTAACAATTAAAAGTCTGCAACTGGAAGCTGAAAAGCTCTAATTTAGGAGACACTATCACTTGGCACAAAGTTAACTTCTATGGATCACTACAAGAATTCTTCAGTGTCTGGTTGAAGACTGGCATAAGCAACATGTCTGAAAAGCATATTAATGTTTCAGAAATTCATTTAAAGGCAGAAAGAAGTCCAAATAGATGCCTGTCTAAATGCATTGCAATTACGTTACAATTATTTTGCGAATACACAGATATGCTCTGCCTTGTCTCAGCTCATTACCGACTCAAACAATTTGCCCTTCTGGGATCAATTGTTTGCTAATAAATAATTGTTTGCTGCAACAAAATGTTATTAAGTACTATTCTTATTAGTTTTGCTTCTACATCCTGTAATAAGATTCAAAACTAACTAATTCCCAGGAGTCTAACCTTAACCTTGCTGTGTTTAACAGCCCAGGAAATGATGAACCATCTGTTTCAGAAAATAATGGACAGCCAAGAGGAAATATTGTTTAATTGAAGATTAACCTCCTCAGAAAGCAGAACGAAGCATCCCTATAATTAGCAAACACAACGCAAGGATAGAAACAGCTGAAATCAAAGTCATATGGTCAGGCCCTCAATCGACTGAAGACTGCTTCCCATGCTATAATTCTCATTAATGCAAGTAATCTGCAGGAGCACTCCCATTAACATGGTGTAATGTGGGAAGTAGTTCCAAATATTATTATTTTTTTTTAATCCCACTATACTGATTTTGGCAAGTTGCATTCATATTAGTGTAACAGATGATAGCATGGCAAAGTCAAGGCAGGGGAAAATCGAATAAAAATCTAAAATATTCTTTTAAGTTGTGGTTATGCCTGGAAAGTAGAACTGTGGTGCTGGCTCTTAAGAATTTGAAATACCATGAGTGCTTATAGTACTCCCAGAAGCAGCACAGCAACAAATATTTACAAAAGGTCTGGTGGCATTTCCTTGTGTTAAACATAAAGGAAATATCATTACTAACTGTTCTACTGTCAGTATCTCACTCAACATAGATCAGCTGATTAAGTCAAATGTGATGAACATGACCTAAGGTAAAAGAGGTTTGGGAAAAGGTAGCCAATACTGCAACTCTATACAGACTTACCAGGGAGTAAGCCCCATCGAACTGAATAGGTCTTACTTCTGAGTAGACATGTTTAGGATTGCACAATTATATAATAAAGTTTTAAATAAATAAATAAGAGATACAGTGAGTTTTATAAGAAAAAGTCTGCCTGGAATGCTCCTACTGGGAAAAGGAGAGGGGTGTTTTTTGTTGTTTCCTTATTTCCCCTGCATTCCCGGAAAAACTGATCCAGAGTTAAGGGTGGAAACTTTAAATAAACCTTTTGCCTTTTTTTTTTATTAGTTTCTGTAAACACAACTTTTGCATTAATTTGGTATTGTTCATTTTAGTTCAATTTTTCATGATCACATCTTTGTTTGTCTCATATCTCCATCCTTCACCATGATGCAACACTTTGGCATACACAATTCTTCTCTACTTTATCCTCAAAACAACCCAGAGAAGTAGATTAAAATGAGATGTGGTAACAGGCCTGGACATCTCTGGCACTAGTTCAACAATAACTATTCTTGCTTGAAAACATACTGGGTGGGATTCACTCAATGAGCCCCATCAATGGAAGCCTGTGCAAAGACACAATGGAGCTCCCCTCACCAATGAACCCCCAAAATTGGCTTGGACAAGTTGGGAGTACTCCCAGAAAAGGGGGGGGTGTTGTGTCTGACAAGCTGAAATGCTTGTGTAGACAAAACACTCACCATAGCGCAACAATGAATTGCAGCGTTACTGTATAAGCCCCTCAACAGTTTGTTTTTTAAAAAGAAATGAATCTCAAGAGCACAGGTACAGTTGCCAAGTTTATAACCTAGATGTGCTAATAAGCCTTTTTAAAAGTGCCAAGGCACAGGGACACAGCATCTTCCAGGACACCCAAACCCTTTCAAGTTCTTTGTGCCGGTTCTGCATGGGAGACACCACTCTGTATTCCTTTGGTTTGATAGAGGTATAACCTAATACCCTCCCTGTTATGGCATCTATCTTCTGAAATTCCCTTGCAAAAAGAACATTCCTTCAACACAACAAACTGTATGTCAATTACTTTCAGCTTAATTTAGCTGCACCTGATGATGCTTTACTATAAGATGCCCTGAGCACAGGGACCCTGAATGCCCACACCAGCTTATTTGCCTGACATTATTCTGAGGCAAGTAACTGTACTCACAAGATGGGCTTAGAAAAGCTACTCTTCATTTCCATGAAGTCCACGCCAGTGACTCAAGAATCAGATTAAGTTTTAAGTAAGAAATATCCACTTTTTGGATGTTATGTGTGGCAAATTCTACATCTTAATAAGCAACCAAATGCCAAGTGTGAGAATGCCCACAATAACTCTAAGCTGCCAATTCCTTGCAGGAGGAAGTTCAAGCCACACAGAGCTTTCCCACCAACTAGAGCCACTCTTCTTCCACAGCAGAAGTAGTGCATGTACACAACAAGAGAAAGAAGCAGCTAGTTTAAAGAGCTAAGAATGGAGGGAGATAATGTGTGTATTTCTCTCCTATACACACCTATACTACAGCAGAGGTGAGCAAAAATTAGATCAGGGTGTACTGGTAGATCTAGTGATCAGCAAGGATTTATGACTCCTAAATGTTTAGCAACAAAAACATTTTCCACCTTAATAAGGGTGCTGAAATGGAAAAAAAATATTAACTCTGACTGGACTTTTGTGTGAAATGTCTTTTAAGCTCAGTTCAGTTTTGGCCCTAAAAATTAATTCCTAGGTTCAGAATGGGCTCAGAAGCACTCTGTTCTTTAATTCTAAGTCTGTGTGTGCATTCTTGTGTACCTACGTCTGACTGGAAGATCACAGAGTTCCAGCAAGCAAGGAGTAGGAGTTGACCCATCCCTATGGATACTACAGCATAAAGGTCTTTTTGCATATTATCTTTCCCTACAGGCAAACATGCTCATATCTGCTGCTCCCCACCTTCCTGAAGGCAAATACACTAATGAGAGACAGCAAGCAGCTGTGGGGCTAGTGGGAACAGCTAATACCCACAGAGGTTCCAAACACTGCAGGCATATGTGTTTTCTTAGCACTGTAATATACTCAAGTGGCAAAACTGAATATAAGATATAAACTCCAATGTGCTAAGGGAAAGAAAATCGCAATGTATTTAGGTTTAGGCTAAATTCATTTTAGCTTTGTGCAACCAAAACTAGTATTTTCTTTACCAGGAAACGTGGCACAATTCTGGACATTAAAGAGTTACACATACCGTTTCAAAATTATTTTCTTATAATTTAAACCATCACTATAGCAGCTCTGCTTTGGTGTATTGTAGATGAGAAGCCCAGATCTATGTGCAGAGATTGCCAATAGTTCAAAATCTTAAAAATCCTAATATAATTACTCTCTCATATGTATTATCCTGAATTCTTCAACTTAATTTTAAAGCAATGAGCTGGCAATAATGCCATGACTTCATATAATAGCTCCTATTCAAGAAGAATGAGAGTTTGACATTCTTCTCCCACAAAACAAGTAGACAATTTTATCCACCAGCCGTCTATCAACCTACGGATATTGAAAGCTTGGGGAGAACAAGATAAAATCAACTCTAGTCCTACTGTCAAGCTGCACTATCTACCAGGAATCAATAATGCTATTCATGAATTTAGGAAAATTAATAAATCCTGGAATAAACGGTAGAAAAAGCTCAAATACAGGTGAAACTTACTCACTTGGGTTTTGTTTCAGCATCTGTCACTTGCCGAATATAGATACCATCTTCAGGATGTTCAACGTCATCCAATTCGTACATATATGATGATGCAATTGCAAGGGTGGTTCCATCATTACTGAAGGCTAGAGATGCTATGCTTGTAGGATAGCGGTGGAACTGACAGAGTCTCTTTTTATTGAATGGATCCCAAATATTGACAAAGCCATCGGAACCACCTAAAAATAGATTGCAAAGATCCAAAGCAGCAGAAACGAGCATTATTGATATCTGTGCAATTAAATATAATTAGAAAGTGCAAGGATATTTCGGTTATTTAATGGGAGAAGCACATGGTACAAGATATAAAATAGGTTCTGAATTATTGCAGAAAATTTTCACATCAAACAATCTTCCCAGTTTTACAAGTATGCAAAACAGCTACAAAGTAGAAACTGTATTTTTCAGCTTATATTTTAATGATATATTTGAGAACTAAAGACAGGATACCTCAAATTCTCTAAAAGAATCACAGAACAACTGAAGCTTTTCAGATGACTGCTTGGTCAATATAACTGAAGAATTATCAACTAACAGCACTAATAAGAAAAAAATAAAGTTTCATGTTACCTGTAGCAAAAGTGTTATGGACATTGTGGAAAGAGATGGCATTGACTGGATAAATATGTTCAATATTATTCTCCTTCAATCTGTGACATTTGAAAGCATATTTCTTCTTCTGTACCTCCAAACTTGGATCCAAATACTCAACTGCAACACGGCCTTCAATAGAGCTTAACACATAGCCCTATGGGACATAGACAGAATCCTCACTTATTTTGATGACTGATCATAGGGTTTTGTTTTTTCTTTATGAACTGCTCTATGTCAATGAAACATTTATAAGATGTGTACATCTTATGTACACATGTCACATTTAACTATTGAGAGGCACAGGTGCACTCTGAGTCCTAAAGGTTTGTAAAAATGTCTGAGAAGATTCCAAAGGGAATTATAGATTATTCTCTAGATTATTCTCTTAGCATTGTGTCCTGATAAAAAATGTTGCATTCCAGTTCTGACATTAACTCTAAACAGGGCACACACTAATGCCTTTTAGAAAGTGAGAACAGATTCCAAATGAGACCTCATTGGAGGAACCCTTTTGCTTATAAATAACATCTAACAAAATTCGCTTTCATTTAATGCCTCCTCTGCATAAGACAACTCTATATCTGCTAGGTATATCTTGCTATCTGACATCAATAAAAGTCTGTTAGGCTTTTCCTTTATATTTTTCCCACCTCAAGAAGAGCAGAAAATAATGGCTAAACACTACATTGAACCCCAGAGAAGGGAATGATGAGAGAAACAAAGACACTCTTGTTCTTCTGTTAATTCTCTTTGTAGCTTTGATAGATCCAGGAAAGAGCCATGCCCAGCACAGAAAATGACTCCTAAGCAAATAGTTTTTTATCTAAATCCTGTAACAGTATTTCCCAGAACACTAATTTTCTTGGCGCATGGCATTTATGCCAGTCTACTGCTCCTGCATAATTCAGAGCTCTGTGATAACTTTAGAATTAAATACAATATTAAAGTTCCTCTAGTTTCCAACTCCATTAACAGCTTCAAAACCTTAGGAAAGCACAGCAAATACATCATTTGTTTTAGAGATAGCAATAAAATTAGCAAGATTCAAAATAAACTTTTTGAGTCAAGATAATCATAAATATCAAAAGCTGGTATAATTGAGACTATTTTTCTACAAACTTTCATTTGACAAGCCCCTCTGAGCCCGGCCTTGGCTGGGGAGGGCGGGGTATAAATAAAAATTATTATTATGATGATGATGATGATGATGATGATGCAGCACAATTTAAATACCTGTTTGTTAGGGAATGCTCTGATGCAACGTGTCTGATATTTAAGACTTGATTCTCTTCTTTGTTGAACATAGCCCATGTTTCGCAAGTCCCACACCAAAACTCTCCGACCAGCTGTTCCCACTATCAATCTATCACCAGACACAGACAATGTATACACCTTGGAAAAAAGTTATAAAGTGGCATTACATTTTCCACATTCAGTACTAGGATTTCTACTTTAGCAGCATAAAGGTAGAAGGAAAAGATTACCTGTTCCATTAACATGTTCAATGACAAAAGATTTTTAAAAGTAGAAGTCTAGCAGACTTAACTCTCCATGAAACACTAAAATGCATTCTACATGGACTATACAAGATTACCCATGTTAGAATACCAAAAATTTACATACTAAGCCTTGCTATAGAGATGCAATTTTTCTTGTTTGTCCTCCTTATATCTATCTTGTTCCTGCTAAGAGTTCTCCATCCTCAAAGGGAGACCATTCTTTTCCCAATCAACCTACAAACCTAAAAAGCTACTTCTACCCTTTAAGTTATAACAATGTCCTTGCCAATTCATCTAACCCCAGCTTTCACAAATCCTCAGGAACTATAGTTAGCACAAACTATGGATTGCATATACATTTATAATCATAGTTGTGGTTTGGAGCTAACCATTGTTAGTACATACACACAAATAATTTTTAAAAACCCAGGTGCCTATGTAATGTTTTTAGGCTCTGAAAGCAAAAAGTGAATTTAAATTCTTTAAATAAAATGTGGGGTGGGAAGGGGAAGATCCATCTGCAAGAAGTAAGGTGAGATAGTGCTCAAGCTCACAGATTGCTCTCAATCTCTTATCCATGGTTAACAGATCAAGCATCATTACATCTGTGTCATGATTACATAAATAATTTTAAAGAAACAGTTTGTCTATTGTTTCAGAAAACAATAACCTACCTGTCAACACAGAGAGAAAAATTTGCTGGCAGGAACATCAAAAAATATATTACACTGAACACTCAACTGTTTATTTACTCTTGCCATTTCAGGATGCATAACTAACCGCTAAAAAAAATATTAATGGTTGTGATAAACTAGAAAATGTTGCTTAAATCAGTTTAAACTAAAAACAAAAGTTGTGTAACTAAGCAATTAATCTGTTATCAGGTAAAACTCTTTCAAGTAACAGCTACTAGTTACATATTAGATATTTCAACTTTACCTTTCTAAAAAGATACATACTATACATGCTTTCATTCCATATGCTTAACATGTGGTAGATCTGGTATCTAATTACAGATCCTTCATTTATACTAGGACTAACAGAATGTAAACAGAATGCACGGGCTACCGATTAGTTTCCAGGCCCAATTCAAAGTGCTGGTTTTAACCTTAAGTGGCTCAGGACTGCAATACCTCAAGGACCGCCTCTTTCCATATGAACCTACCCGGACCCTGAGATCATCTTCTGAGGCCTTTCTTCATGTGCCTTCTCCTAGAGGTCCAGAGGGTGGCAACACAAGAATGAGCATTCTCTGCAGTGGCTCCCTGTCTGTGGAATGTTCTCCCCAGGGAAACTCGCCTGACACCTTCATTATACACCTTTAGGCGCCAAGCAAAAACATTCCTTTTTAACCAGGCCTTTGGTTGATTTGATTGACATCCTATGTCCTTTTAAAATGTGGGTTGGGTTGTTTTTATTTTGATTATATATTTTGTGGTTTTATATTTTGATTTTGTTCTGTGAACTGCCCTGAGAGCTCTGGGTATAGGGCGGTATATAAATTCAATGAATAATAATAATTATTATTATTAATGATGAATTGTCAATGGCTCAAACAACAGTGACACAAAGCAAATTACTATACAAGAATGCATACAGTATAAAATGTGATAACACAAAAGCAATGTTATAGAAAAATATATACAGGAAAAACTGCATCAGGAGTGTTAACTACCTTAAATCTTCTTTACTGACTGGTGTCATACCTGTGAAGTATTCTTTACAGCACCCCATAGCCATAAATCAAATGAAACCAATATCATGAAATAGGCTAGGTATACACATTTATCAGAGACACTATTTAAAAAAGTGACATAATGAACCTTGCTATACCAATAAGAAGTTTGATTCAGTGTGACTGTCTATTATATGGCATTCTGCGAGCAATTCATCACAGTTTTCTACATGCTACATGCAACCATAAATCACAAGTAAAAAACAACATTTTTATCCTGATCAAAGATCTTGCCAATAGATTCAGATTATGTAGTGCCCACATTACTGCGCTATTTAGACATGATGTGGTCCAGACTGACAGCTCACCATTGTATTAGAAAGTATTTGAAGTAGTGACAAAAACTATTTGCATGTATCTGCCTATGAAAATGAAGACTGACAAGAGATCATAAATAAAAATTTAAATACTCTTAATGCAACTGCTGTTTAGTGAGCTGAAGAAGTTAAAGCCTCATCTCATCCATTTATCAAAACATGCAGCTATTCATACCATAAGGCTGCACTAACATGTTAAAATAAAAGTTACACCGTTCAAGTTACTCTTAAATGCATAACTCAAGGTTTATTGTTGGCCGTAACTTTATCCCATCACTTTGTTTACAGTACTTGTAAGCCAAAGTTACAGCAGGCTGCAAATCAGCTGCTAGGACCTTACTCATGGACCCTGAATAAGAAGCTGAAAGAAATTAAGCTGCAACAATCAAAATTTCCTGTTTACATTGGCATAAATGGATACACCAACAAAGCCCTTCCTATATTAGTGTATTGACACCACAATATAACATAGGCAATACTACCAGCTGGGTTTCTGGAATATACCTTCAGCAAAAGGATCTCCCTATTGTATCCAAGTCTTATCCTGGTTTGTTAATTAACAATGGTTTCTAAAAACCAGTTTACTAAAGATTGAGCAATGGGAAAAAGCAGTTTAGAAACAAAAGACGACTAAAGCTTTAAACCTTGTCCCTTTGTGGGAGGAGCACACAAGTCTAAGGTTTGTGGAGCTCAAGCCCTTAACAACAAACCATGGTTTTGTGTTATGTCTGAAGTGTCATTATATTTTCCTGGTGTAGCTAAGCTTGCATTAATTACTGAGAATAACTAAAGAGTTAACTTTGTATTTTTCTGGTATTTAAGTAGTACTTGTTAATCATACAAAAACTCACTTAAGTCTGTAATTTTATCTTCATTAATAGTGTTTATAAATTTTTAATGCAAAACAATGAACTGATCTGAAAGATATTAATACTTTGATTGCTCAAATGTATTCCTTAACCACATAAAAAATACAAGTCTACTAGAAAAAGAGCCCCATTGAACTTAACAGTGCTTACTTCTGAGTAGGCATGCAAAGTATTGTATTGTAAATTGCTTAAATACAAACCTTTTCAGGCTGAGAAAATGTTCCCGCATTACAAGGTGTTCTCGGATCCCATAACTTGACTGTTTGATCCCAACTTCCTGTTACCATTACATTGACCTCTGGACAATATTCAACGCATCGGATAGGAGCATCATGGGTGCCAACAAGATTGTCTGTTTTTTAAAAAAAAGATTAGTAATAATCTGAACACATAGTTGCACTATATTTTTGATAATCAAATTTAATAAAAAGGAAAAAACAATATTCATACAGCGTTAACAGAGTCTGATATACCATTCACTAATGTATGTGCATGCTGGGACATCTTTCAAAGGACGCTTGATCCTCTAATCTTCTCAATAGACAGACACTTCTGAAGTGTTAAATGTAGACTAATAGATATCAACTCAGTATTTCAAAGAAGCTTAAGGGGGGTGTTGGTACCCATGCAGAGATTTTCAAATGAACAAAAGAGATTTGTGCACCTAACTCTGTTGGGGTCCTCTGAAAATCCTAGTCATGAATGGTGTGTTTGAAAGATCTCATAGTAGGTGAATGTAGCATGACCACATTAGTTCATGCCTTTGCCACTTGTGAGTAATTAGGCACTTTCAGCAAAACTGTCAATAAACCTTTATTCCACAGCATCATCCATTTTAGCACTGTATCCTGTAGTATTAAACTGTTTTAGAAGCTTTTAAAGTGATGCTGAATACTAATCCTGTAATACTTCAGATTCTTTCTCCAACTTAGGAAATAAATCAGTACTTTTTTTTAATCCTCTAGAATTTATTCTAAATAGCTTTCTCCTCCAAACCCAATTCTCCAGTATCTTTCAAGACATCAAGCAACCATTGCCTGGAAACTTCTTATCCATTTACAATGTCACAGCATCTAATTTCATCCTCTACAATGATGAAAAGCAGCTTTCCTGACATTCAGTTACTCTGCTTCCAAACAGCTAGGTGTCTGATCCTATTATCCCTGCATCAACTACAATGACTATTTATCAATATTGTAGGGTATTTGTAAAGGGAGTGGATGTTAAATGTCCTCTTATCAAGTCAGAACGTGCAATCATACTCACACCTTAAAATCTCACTCAACAGATGTCCCCCCAGATTTCTCTACTACCCCCAAAAAATATATAATCACAGTTTAAGGATTTCATATTTAGAATCATAGAATTGTAGAGTTGGATGGGACCACAAGGATCATCTAGTCCAACCCACTGCAATGCAGGAATCTTTTGCCCAACATGGGGCTCAAACCCATGACCCTGAGATTAAACGTCTCACAGCTCTACCGACTGAGCTATCCATTTACAGCATTTTCCCCATTGTCTCTTAAATCAATTCAAGCCCCGCACATTACTCTATGAACTCATAGTTCATATGCACATGTATGCAGAATAATGCCCTTCTGCCAAAATCTCAGGCAAGTCTAAACGACTGTAAAAACAAAGTTGGAGGTGTTAAATAGCCCATAAATACATTTCTAAAGGGAAAAGAACAAATTAAACTATCAAGGATAGAAAAAGTACTGCATAGAACTAGGTCATACAAGCAATATTGACAGTTTCGCTTTCTCAACACTCAAGACTAGAACTGTAAATAAAACAAAAAGATTGTTTTTAAATAAAAATGTACCACCCTGCAAATATTTTTATATACTCAGTTAAAGACAAAACACCACAAGGTTCTTATCATGGAATACTAACTCTTTCCTTAGCCTAAAAATCTGCATTGACTAATAAAGCTTTAAATGCACTAAATAAAATCAAGAGCAACACTATACAGAAATAAATGGAAGTTACAGAAAGTGCAGACATAAAACCAAATGACATAGTAAATATGAACTGTACAGAAAAGAAACACATTTAATTTGCACTTTAATGCTGTCTGTATTTATACTGTAAGAATTCCAGTCATAATACTTTTCTATTTCACGACACTATTTTCAGTGAATTAATCTACTGTTGAAACAATCTATTTTCTCCTACTTCTGCAGGTTCTACTATACCTATCAATTAGCTTACCTTGATCAGTGTTCAAGTCATGCATTTTTAACTGCCGATCCAATCCTCCACTCCAGGCATGTGTAGGGTCCTTCAAGAGAAGAAAGTTGTTCACTTATGTTCTATATCTATACTCCAAGGAACCAACAAATATTTGATAAAGGCATTATTTTTGCTTTAAAAAGTCTTATCCAACAGTGTCAGCAAGGGATCAACAAACCATGACCCCTTCAAAGGCGTACATATAAGAATTTGGGATGGCGCTGCTCTCCTACTGCCTACATACCCAATTTATTTCCACAAGAGAACAGGGCGACTGAATGACAACAGTAGCACTACCGCCAAAGGTCACCCACAATGGTTACTATAACTGTGAGAAGAATTTGAACCCCACCCCTGTGCAAGGGGCTTCAGCTCCTTCACTGGGGCAAAAGCTACGCACAAAATTATGAAACTGAAGATTAGAAAATAAATTATGTTATTAAATGTGTTTGACAACGCTAATGTGATATTGCTTCCAAAATAATTAATGTTGATAAAATCCTGCAGCATAACTATTATATAGGAATGAAATACTGTACTTGACTAGGCAACAAAAAAGATCAAAAGACAGTGGATGACATCCAGTGATGTCCACCCAATTGTGCAGCGGACTTCTGCTCATGGAACAAAATGCCCCATTTTTGCATATTATCACTACCACCACATTCTCTTCCAGTAGATTGGCAGACCCTCCAAAGATGATATTGGAGATATTCAGGGGGCTACAGAGTGGAGGACAAAGCAGAAGTAACGTATGAGCAGAAGACCACTGATGCAACACAATTTTACTGGTTTCCCAATTTTCCATACAGGCTTACAATCAAAATACGTAGTTTTAAAAACAGAGCTGTCAATCAATTGAACAATTCTGTTCATCCATCTGTCTTAACCAATTAAAATTAAATATTAACCTGTTAAACTGGCTTATTACTAAAAACCTCAGTAAGGGTACCTTTAAAAAAAAATGATGAAGATAACCTGTATTTTTAAAAGTTTTCACTGGTTGTTGGAGAGCAAGACTATCTTTAGCATTCTTTTTTTATTCCCCATTACAACAAAACATCAGGCCCACACAAGCATCAAAACAAGCTTAACTTACTTAACTTAAGGCATACTTAACTTATAGCTCAATCTAAAAGGCCAGGGTAGAGAAGCCCATGTGCAATTACAAAGTGTTTCTGAGCACAGAAAGGGTGGTGGGTTGTTCCAGAGGGCCTCCCAGTCTTCAAGAGGTAGTTTCTTGTCAGATGGGAGGAGCTGAAAACCCTGTACGTGCAAAACCCTGTGCATGGCACTTTGGAATCCAGCCTAAAGACTTCAGTAACCTACTAATTAAGTAAATTACACCTTGCATCCCCTTCTTATAACTTCAATAGTAAAAACACAAAGTAGTAAAAAAGACTTACATAAAAAGCACAGTCAAGTACAGCTCCTGTATGTTGATACTTGAGTCTCATGGTGTTGGCAGGAACATCATACAATCGAACAGAAGTGTCCCAAGATGAAACAAGCAGAAACTGAGATGTGTTAGGACTAAATTTCACTGATGAGATTCCATCTTCCGGTGGTTGGTTCAACTTAAATTCATTTGACCCAGTCATCTGAATAAGATAATACAAAAGTTATCTACAGATTATTATTATTTTCTATATTATCTTTGGTAGATTTTAAAGAGAAATTGCATCAACAAGAAAAGCCTGCTGGATGGGCCACTGGAACATCTGCTCCAGAACTCTGTTGTCAGTATGCAATATGCTGATGACACCCAGCTTTATCTGTTGATGGACGGCCATCCTGACTCAGCCCAGGGCACACTGACCAGATGTTTGGAAGCTGTGCCTGGATGGCTGTGTGGGAGCCAGTTAAGTTCTTCGAAATCCTTCGAAGACAGAGGTCCTCTGGTTGGGTCAGGACGACATGGGGTTTGGGGGCCAACTCCCATCTCTTGCGGGGGCTCAATTAGTGCCAGAGCCTTCTGTCAGGAGTTTGGGTGTAACCTTTGACGCCATCCTCTCTATTGAGGCGCAGGTTGCAGCCACAGCAAAGGTGGCATTTTTCCACCTTCGCTGTGCTAAGCAGCTGGTCCCTTACCTTTCTCGCCCTGATCTAGCCAGAGTGATCCATGTGATGGTCACCTCCAGGCTTGATTATTGTAACTTGCTCTACGTGGGGCTGCCGTTGAAGCTGACCCAGAAACTCCAGCAGGTGCAGAATGCCGCTGCGAGGCTCTTTATGGGGTCCTTGCCATGGGACCACATTCAGCCAGTGCTATACCAGCTGCACCGGTGGAGTACAGGGTCAGGTTTAAGGTGCTGGTTTTAACCTTTAAAGCCCTATACGGCCTAGGACCCTCGTACTTATGGGACCGCCTCCCCTGGTATGCCCCACAGAGGACCTTACGGTCTGCAAATAATAGTATCTTGGAGGTCCCGGGCCTCAAGGAGGTTAAACTGGCCTCAACCAGGACCAAGGCCTTTTTGGCTTTGGCCCCAGCCTGGTGGAACGCTCTATCGCAGGAGACCAGGGCCCTGCAGGACTTGACATCCTTCGGTTCAGGCCCAGTTTGATCCCCCTCTATGGGACCCCCTCTTTGGCCCTTTTATTGGCTCATGTGGGACCAACATGGATAGCTGGCGCTGATGAATACTTGAGGTTCCCGACCCCTATAGTTGTAATTCATGGACAGTAATTTAATTTTATCCTGATTTTAATTTTTAAGCTGCATTTTAATCAATTGTCTGATTGTGTTTTAATGTATTTGATCTTTGATGTTAGCCGTCCTGAGCCCAGTCTTGGCCAGGGAGGGTGGGGTATAAATAAAAATCTACTTACTTGCTTACAAGTAGTCATACCTCGGCTCCCAAACGCCTTGGGAGTCAAACATTCTGGCTCCTGAATGATTGAAAATCGGAAGTGAGTGTTCCACTTTTCGAACGTTCATTTGGAAGCCAAACGTCCAACGGGGCTTCTGCAGCTTCTGATTGGCTGCAGGAGCTTCCTGCAGCCAATGAGAAGCCACGCTTTGGTTTTTGAACGTTTCGGAAGCCGAATATCTGGCAAATTGCTGAGCAGCCTATAATGTAACATCTTATGGGGGGGGGGAACCAAAGCCCCATAACAGTAGAAATGTGGCCCAAAAAGAAAGGTGGGAGAAGCAGCATTCCCAAGTTCTGCTCTTGTACATTGCTTATGTCCAGGCTATTTTGGCTCAGAGAACATCAGGGCTTAGCATCGCCCGGCTATGAGTCGTGAAGGCCGTTCCCTGCAAGGCCCTTTCCACCTGGCCTAGCGAGCGGGGCCCAGACTCACCCAGCCCTACTAAAGAGGCTCCTGGTGAGACAAGAGGGACATCGCTAGGCCTGACAACAAACCCCAATTATTGATTCTTTTGCCCCATCTTTTTGTGCCTCCCAAACAGGCGTGTCATGCTTATAATAATATTTTATTCTCTTGTTAATAATGCTATTTTAATTGTGCATTTTATATTTGACTTCACTTAGCAATGATTTTTTGTTAACTTTGTGTTAAGTATGTATTCTGTAGCTGACCAGCTGACCTCCTTTGTAATGTTTTATTTTGAAATCTTTCAGATAATATTTCTGATAATTATGTTGCTTTGACTGTATACTTTATATTTGACTTTCTTCAGAAATGTTTGATTCTGGATTGTTTTACTGATGTTTAATATGCTTTAAACCGCTTTGAGATTTTTCTTTAAAATAAAAAGCAGTATAGAAATGAAATGAATAATAATCAAATAACAGCATATGGAGAAATCAATGTGCTAGTATAAGTGATTCCATGTTATACATTTTAAGAGATGCAGTTGGAACTAACCCTTTTGTTAGTTCCAACTGCATCTCTTAAAATGTACACCAGGGATGTGAGAATTCCCCTCTCACAGAAGCACTCTAAGGTTAAACCACTGCTTGCTTTCCCCCATCAAAGTTCCATGATCATGGGATTACACAAATGCCTGGAGAATATGTCCCTCATCGTCATGGTAGCCATATCAGAACCACCATCTGAGAGCCTAGGTACCAGTTGCTAGGGAGCAAGAGTCACAGAGGGCCATAGATGTCAACTTTTCCCTTTTCTTGTGAGGAATCCTATTCGGAATAAAAAAGGGAAAACGTTGACAACTATGCAGAGTGCTACTGCTTGCAATGGCATCTTGTTATCTTAGAATCCTGCTTCCTACAAGACTGACCACTGGCCTGATCCAGCAAAGCTCTGGTTTTGTCTTTAACTTATCATTTCAACGAGCCTCGGTCTTTACAGCACAAAACCTTACCCCCTTGTTATTAAATGTTTGACCCCAGAAGCGACGAAGGACCTCGAGTATTGGGGGGGGGGGGAGGATTCTTCATAGGATCCCCCCTGCTTATTATTCCTTAACCATATGTTATTCCTTATGGGATGCCTGCACCCCCCTCCCCCACCCCAATTTCTCAGAAAGGGAAGAAGGCAGCAAGGGCGCGCGGGCATGACGCGGGGGGGGTGTAATGGGCGTGGCCTGGAAGGGGGACCCGCAGCTCCGCTTCCCTCCGAGGGTTTGGAGAGCCAATGGCCGAGAGGGAGTCCCCCCAGGCCGCGCGAGGACTCTCCGTCCCAAGGCGGGCGGGGGTGGGGGGACAACAACAACAACAACAGGGGCGCCCCTATTACCTTGTCCTCCAGTTTTCCAACGGGGCCTCTCCCTCACTCTCACACGCACCAACCGTCTTCTTCCTCTCACCACGCGCGCGCGCCTCGATTACCGAGCCAAATCCCAACAGCCCCAGCTCCGGCGACCGCCTCGGCCGGCGATTGGTTAGTTTAAAATGACCGAACGGCTCACGTACGGACGCACGCACGCCCGGCATGCTCCGCGAGGCAGCGTTTTGCAGCGTCGACTACAACGCCCAGCATGCAACGGGCTCCAAGTTACCCTTCCGCTGCTGCCTCGGCTAGTGACCCCCCCCCATCTCTGCCTACAGAAGCCCCATCTGCTTCTTTGAGTCTTCTTTCTTACGTGCCCCTCTCCGGGGCAAACCCTTGCGCTCCTTTCGCCACGCGGAGGCCTTCGGCGCTAGAGCCAATTGTGAACGCGGCTCTTGAGGCTGGAGAATGAATGGAGGCGGCTGCTCAAGCCGCACCTGTTTGGGCAGAAAGCAGGTCCTTTGTCGCCTTCATAGGGAGATGCCTCCAAATAAGAGCGCTTTGGATCTGGGTCGTGGTCCTACGACCACAGCAACTCTCATATAGGCCAGTGCTCCGTAGATCTCTCGCTTCCTCCATAAGCCCCTTAGTTTTATCTTCCTGTGTACACACCCGCGTCATCCCTGTATGCGGCAGCCCCGTCCACGACTCCGTAGCAGTTGTGTAGCAGAAAACACACCGCTGCAAAACCTGCATCCAGCAGAGTGTGTATAAGATTGCCAAAATTTCTCTGCACGGGATTTATATGTGTGTGTGTGTGTGTGTGTGTGTGTGTGTTGTTTTTCAGTTCGACTCCAAATTAAAAAGTTTTGCAGCTTTGGCTTTAAATGTATACACGTGTATGTATGAATACGTGAGTAAACTGGGAAGAAAGGGGAACCGGAGGCTTTTTTATTTTTTTCATTCCCACCCCTTGATTATTTACATCGCGTTTCCTTGTACTTTGGATTTCAACATTTAGACGTGCATGCATCATACACATACACTTTTGTCCATGTGTAACTATCATGATTATATTGATAGAAAGGATTCCTACCGAACTATTGCTGGAACTGTTTTCAGTATGTGCATATAAATATCAGCCAAAATATTATAATTTCATATCTAAAGCCAAGTAAGACACATGTATACCACATGAATTCAGAATACGAGCATTTGACTCTTCTTGCTAGGCTTTCCTGCTGTTCAATGCCTTTCGCTTTGAGGCAGCTTTCGAAATCCCTTCCTAATACCTTGAGTTCTTGGATCCTGACATATTTGCATAATCCTGTGTTCAGGACAAAGGACAATTCGCCTCTGAAAGGAAAGTCCAAGCGGTATCAGATGGAAATTAAACGCGCATGCTCTTAATAGCGAGAGCGATGATCATGAAAAAAAAATTGTTGTAATAGCCCTGCCATTGATGCCTCGCGGTTGAATCGACGCAGAAGCAGCAAGTTGGGGATAGTTCCCGGATGGAGAAAGAAGGTGCTGGGGAGATACTTGACGGCCCAAGGTTAATCAGTCTACCTCGCAGCTAAAGCAGATTGCAATGTATAGATCTCATTGTCGTCCCCCCCTTTTTAACCTGCTAAATCCTTATGTGTAGTCATGCTTGCAATTAAAGCAGATTAACTGCAAGCAACCGTTCACAGAAGGATTTCAGGTTAACACACACCACAGTTCTATGCAGGCTGGCTTTAGAAGTAAGCCTCACTAAATTCAATGGCGCTTACTCCCAGGTCAGTGGGTATAGGATTGCAACCCTTTAAAAAGTGATGGAAACAACGAGATCTGTGCAATACTAACTCCTGGGGGCCACTATGTCGTTGACTTAAGCTCGGCCAGAGTTTCCTCTACTATCCTGCGATGGCTGAACACGCTTCCATAGAAGAGCCACGCTGCCTCTGCCTCTTCTCTGTATCGCCACTGGCCTACAATACACTTTTTAAATATCTCCTGGTGTGTTGGACCAGTTCCAAGGTTTGCAATAATGCACAGGATTGATTAGCAATACGATTTGCAATGCGAGGATAAGGATTGCATGGAAACACCAAATGCATCCATTGCTCTTCCCAAAACGATTTTTTGTTTTGTTTTGCTTCACTGCGTGCGATTGAGATGGGCGACGGATCTGAGTTATGCAAACCGAATATATGCAAACACCCTGCACGTCTGTGATGCTATGTACTATGTGGGTGACAGAGAGGGGTCATTTAAAATCCAATAAACTTGTACTGAAATTCCACTTTAATTCGAATCATCTGTTTTTGGGTATGTTTTACTGAGAAAGCTGTCTTCGATATTAATGAATAGTGAGGCAAAACCGAAACATTCAAGGAAACTGAAAGTAGTAATAGTCTGAAGTCAAGAGGCGGAGAAGATTGGAAGGGCACTGATTCTAAGTACTCCTACTGGAAACAATCCTTGCTGGCAATATGAATAACACTTCATAACCAGTGAGAGCCTGAAAAACTACCTCTTTTTTTATTTAGTTACAAATATTCACACACAACCTTGATCATAATGAAAACTTTTTAGAAATATCTCCCGTGCATTACAGTGGAACTTACGCGGTCAAGGATAAATAATGAATTTTCTAGGCTCTATCTAGATCTTTTGTTTGTTTAAAATAGAAGGACCAGGTTGCCCTAAATTCATTTGTTTCTGAGATAAAAGGTCCGTGCATGCACTTAATAGGGAATTACCCCCGTTGGCTTTTGAGAAAATGGTTCAGATAAACAATTTCAAAAATATTATTTTCCACGAAAGAGTGTATCTCGAGCTTATTTTTTTACACGGGCCATATGGAGTGTTACCCCCCCCCAATTCTCCGTTTTAAAACATCGTAAATGTAATTTTAGCTGGATTGTGGTTACTTATTGCATTTTAAATAGTCTTCTCTCTAAGATCCTGAGCGAACCAAGGAACAGGTGGCTGTGATAAACCACGTAACGGCGCCTGCAATTTAAATAACACTTGATGAAGTATTTACTTTTTGTTTAAACGATTCGCTTCCTCCTCTCGGCAGCTCCGAGGCTGCAGGTGTTTTGCAGCGCTGGGGTGAACGCTCAGATCAATCACGGCTTGGTTATAATGTCACATTTCTATTTAAAAAGGAGCTGGCATGAGATCTTGGCATTTAACAGAATACACCTCAAACTAGGAAGAAAGCCCATTTCCGGAAACACTTGTCAGCTCCGATCGCTTAATAAAGGACGTTCATCTTCTTTTCAAATAACTATATACATGAGCCGCTTTGATCCGAATGCGTTTGACATTTGCAAGCTTTTACCCGGATCTGCAGTGTAGAAGCTTATATTTTCCATTCACTTTAATGAGGGGGAGGAGGAAGAGAAAGAAGAACGCGCCCCATCTGTGGTTTTACGATGGAGGGCACAGAAGTAGAAGTGGCGCTGCGGTTAATATCAATGAGCTGGATGCGAATCACGTAGCATGCCTCTAAACAGCGCAGATCCAAAGCCAGTTAAAACGATTTAAGCCAATTGGCACCTTAAGCGGAAAATCGGGCCGCTTTCAATGGATTTTTTTTTCTAAATAAGGATGCAGTCCAATACAGACTTACCTGGGAGTAAGTCTCACTGAACTCAGCGGACCTTTATTCCGAGTCTCCCTCTTTTTCACCTCAGCAACTACTAAGAGTTTCGGGACTTGTGCTTAGACTCGGGGCGGTAGGACTGTGACCCAGGGAGCATTTTTTGGGCGGAAGTGAGAAGGGAAGGGAAGTTCCCCTGACGTGAACAGAACCCCCACTACAAATAAAAACCATTAGGATCGGGCCTGCCTGCCTCTGAGTTTTACCTGTGTAAATTCAGTAACTACAGCTGGATTTAGTAGTAATGGATTGTGTAGCCTGAACTTTTTTTAAAAAAAAAAAGGTGTGTGGAATATCGGTCCTTGATCGTTTGAGCCCATACAGAAATGGCTGTTTATTAAATATCCCTAAATGACAATGGTGATCTTAAATAGTCTGAAAGAAGTTTAAAACTTCCTGCATGTCTTTCTCCTGACTTTAATCCTGATCCTAACCGCAGGAGGAAGTGAGCCCCACTCTTTTCAGTATGGTCTATAAACAACGTGGAATGGCAGCGTTGTCAGCATGGCGAATATATCAATATTTCAGCTTTATTTTGATCAATGCTCCCCGTCTATTCTTGAATTTATTTTGCTGTGACATTTGCCACAGTTTTTGGACAGGAGCGCAGCTGGAGATGAATCGAGATTTCCTGCGACCTCAACGAGAGAGAAGCCCCCATCGTTGCACGGATGAAACTTTCCTCTTTTTTCAAACTTCCAGCGAGAGGGGCCCAGAGGGCAGAACGCATCCAACTTTTCACACCTAAAACCCAAATACATGTATTTTATTTTATTTTTAGGGGCGGGGAGGTACGCCAACTGAAATACACAAGCAATCTGATCCAAGTTACCAACGATGTTTAAAATGCTTTATTTTCTTTTAAAAATATGTACAGATCTGAAATACACTATTATTATTTTTTATTTCCCGCAGATATAATTAATACTCAGGGCAAAAAGGAACGGTGGGGGCGGGCGAGGGGAGACTGGAAAATGGCTGGCCACTCCAGCGCCCTGTTTTTATCCTACCTGCGCGCACACGCAGAGCCGCGCGGTTCTTTCTAAAGGTGAGTTGATGTGTTGGGTTTCCTGTTCTGCTCGAGGTCGGAAAGTCACTTTGTTATTATGTCAGAAAAGGACAGACTAAAGAAAATGGGTTGTGGAGGGGGCTCGAGGGAGAGAGGGCTGGAAGTGACACACTCTCTAGGGCAGTCTAGAAAACAAGCAGAACAAAACTAACCCAGAGAGGATTCCCATAAATAAAATGTTCTGGGGGTGTTTTCCCTTTAAAAAAAATATAATCATAATAATGAATACACATGGTGTATTTCTTAACAATGCAAGAAGCACATTTCTCCTTTCCTATGAATAACAGACGGGCGGGTGAAGAAAAGGTCGTGGGTGGAGACGGCGGTGTCAGTTCAATAGTCGATCTTGTTGTAGAGATTATAAAGAGGTAAGGCCGACAAATTGCTGCCTGGGTAGTATAAGGGAGCCGGGAAGGCGATGGATCTGGGAACCGGCACTCTGAGGAGAGAGTTGTCTCTGAAAACTAGGGGCATCCCCACGAGAGTCTGGGCTGAGGCGTGGGCCATGTTGGCCGCCTCCAGTTCCGCCGAGAGTTGCCGTTTCCATTTGTTCCTGCGGTTCTGAAACCAGGTTTTCACCTGGGTCTCTGTCAGCTGCAAGCTGGAGGCCAGGCAGGCGCGCTCCGAGCTGCTCAGGTAGCGCTTCATGTCGAACGTGGACTCCAGCTGGTAGACCTGGCTCCGCGAGAAAACCGTGCGCGTCTTCTTCTTGGCCGAGCTCGCCTGCCGCTCCGCGCCGTCCCGCTGCCGCTCCGACGAAGCCGGCGAGCCCGGCCCGAAGTGCTTCTCTTTCTCTTCCTTGAAGTCCGGCTGGGACGGAGAAAGGAAAGGCGGCGTCCGGTCGGAACTGATCGCCGAGCCGTTCCCCTTCGGGTTGCCTTGGAGGGAGAAATTAAAAAAAAGGAAGGGGGTGTGTGGAGATGCCTTTCGGATCAGATTGGCATGGCCATGTGTCCCTCCCCACAAGCACACACAGACACCACAACCCACCGACACCAATATACGAATCCCACCAAACACTAAACCCGGGGAGTCGATTGCTGCTTGTTCCAGAGCTCCAGTTCTTCCATATCTTCCTAAGAAAATATTTATCATCATTCTATAAACGAGTTGCAACTGGAATTTATGAAGTCCTTTCAAGGTCAGGTAAAAACTTCAGTGCACCTCACAGGAGAGCAGCCCTCCTTCGCATCGGTGCTGCGCTCACGAGTAAGTCTGTTTCCAAGTGCAGCCTTTACAATCCAGTTCATTCTCGGTTATAATTCTAAAAGCGCAACCTCATACTCGCCACCTCAAACTAAGCCCCGCTGAGTTTAATGGGATTTACTCCCAGGTAAGTTATTCTGTTTAGGAGTGCAGCTTAAAGCTGCCACCGTATTCATACTTTCTTTTTTTTGGGGGGGGGAAGAGTTTCTTTAAGCGCCACCGAATTCAATCTGAATTCTTGGTCAACGCGGTGCAGGGGCGTGCTCGTGTTTTCAAATACGACCCTTTTCCTGCAGAATCGAGAGAACTTGACTTTTTATATCTTAACATTTCATAAATTATGTATTCGGGAATCCTGCGAAAAACCTCCGGCTTCTCTTGCCTTTTTGTTGGGGTGAGTGCGGGGGGGGGGGAGATCACCGTTATCCATCATAATAAAGAAATGATCTCCCCAAAGACTGGACGGAAAAGGCATGATAAGATAATAACATGTCTCTTAAAAACGAAAGGGTCCCTTAATCTGTATGACATCCGGATTTAGCACGCACAAAAGGAAACAAATACAGATTTTAAAAACAACCAAAACAAATAGCATTGAGAGAGCGTGAAAACTGCACCCTATACATTCGCAGAAAAGCTCAAACCGCTGTTCGCCGGGCTTCCCACAACCTATTCCATCCCTGATGTCATCTAGGTTAATTTCGCCCCCTAAAAGCCCGGCGATCAGAAAGACTGCTGTTCAAATAAAACAGTGGTTACTTGCAAAGCTGTTTTTTTCAACACACAGACACAACACGCTGCATTCTTCCTAATAACACTGTCCGCCAATATAATAAGATGCACCTACATATCATCCTTCCTAATTAGGAAGTAAAGGAGGGTTCGAATGGTTTTTCTTTTCTTTTCCTCCCCCTTGGTCCAGTACTTACTGAGACACGTGAAACTGATGGGTTGGTGGTGTTTGTGGCACGTTTCTTTAGGACCATGCGAATCGGGGCAGAAGCAAGCGGGGTGTTTCCAGCTCTCATCCGGCTCCTCTTCTTCGGAGGATATGGAGAGGCTCCTCTTCCTGCTCGGCCAAGCGGAGGCGGAGGCTGCCTGCTTGGAGCTGGGCTCCCTGCCTCCTTCCGAGGTGCCGCTGCCTAGGATGGACTGGATGGTGAAACTGGAGAGCGGAGGTGCTGCGGGACAACACTTGCTCGGGTCTTCTTTGTTGCTCATCCTGGGCTCATAAGAAACAAGAGAACAGCTCTCGCTTTAGAGGCGCGCTGGGGACAGGGGGTCTCGTCGGAGGGTGCGGGGGCTGCCTGGGGGGCTTGGCTACCTCGCCTGCCTTTGGGGGGACCAGTTTGGGGGGGTGTTTTTGGCGTGCCTTGGCAGGTTTTCCCTGAGCTTGCCGAGCCTGAATGCATGCTCCTTTCTCTCTCAGATCTCTATTGATCTCCAGGCGGCGGGGTGGCGTGGCTTCATTTGCATGGAGGTTACATCCGCCTCGGCCAATCACAGGCAGCCAGGCTGCCCCGGAAAGTTTCAAAATTCTAGAACGCTGTCAGCCGCCGACTTTGCAGGGCCACCGAAACCGACGTGATCGTCGAAACAGACAAAAAGGAAGCGGACCAGATTTATTATTATTATTATTATTATTATTATTATTATTAAACCCACGATCTAGTCAGGGCTAAAAGTCCGTAGAGGTTTGATGTGTGTCCCAATCCACCCTTCCAGCGCTGGCCCTTATCATTTATAACTCTTTAGGGTAAATCGAAGTTGCCTCAGTTTGTTGCCTTAAATAACGAAATGAGGCTTTGGGATGATCACACCGTTTAGCAATCTGATACTGTATGGGCGTTTGATTCGCGCCAGCATTTTGCCAAGGTGTTAATTAGCTGACATTGCCTGTATAAAATAAGTCCTGAGATCGGAGGTTGGGTTCTGAAGCACACTTGAATAATCTGAAACCAGCAGGGTTGACTTTCAGAGCAAACGGGTCCTAAACTATTCCCAGTGGTTCAGGAAGTGGCTAAGCAACTCTACCTTAGACGTCTCCTCTCCTACCAATAGGAGAGACAGAAGGGGGAAAGACGACGTTCCTAGTATATGGCTAATTGGGCTAGTACACAATATGTGTTTCCTAAAACAAAGTATTCTCCTCATGCAACAGTCCTCGGAGATTATATATATACATATAATACACGCACACACGCCCCGCTGCACTTGTGTATTTGTGTTCTCCATTCATTTCCAGTCTGGCTCTGCAAGCATTTGGGGCTCAGGCGGAAGGCTAAGAGGCTTGGCATTAAACAGCTTATGGAAAGAGATCTGGTATTTAAACCAGAAGGGCAGCATTCTAGCAACGGATCCTTGGCGCTTTCATTATCTTCACTTTTTATCCCCCGCGCAGCCCCCGAAATATCTTGTCTAGCAATGTCAATCGGGGAAGAAGAAGGGAGGGGAGACACCCATGCATGGATGAAAGCCAATGTTTTCGCTTTGCTGTTTAAACCCTCAGCCCAACGGGACGGTCACTCATCTGCATCCCTTGGGAGAAGAGGGGGCAGGAGGGTGGGGTGGGGGGGACAGCCGGAGCCCCTGCTTTTCCACGGATGGGAGATTGCAAGCGAAATGAAAAGACTGCGCGCATTCAAGTTGTCTGGCGCCAAGCTGCCCAGGCAAGGAGCGCGCAGCAAAGCGGGCGGGGCCCGGGGTGGGGGGAGAGAGACCGCTTGCAATACAAGCTGAGAAATACCTTCCCATTCCCAAACTCATGCAGGTACATCCCTAATCTTCCCCATGGGATGTAATCCATCCCGATGGCGCAGGGTATATATATATACGACGTATGTAACAATATGCAATTATTTAGGCTTTCTGAGAGGATTGACATAAATGCCTTCCAATGATTGTAATACAATCGCCCCGCTTCCTCTGGGCTTGTACAGCTTTGATCGCACTCAAAAAGTGGGTGGAGGGGTGGGGGAGGGAGAGGGAGAGAATCGTTCTCTCCAAAAGTTTTCAGAAACTTTCCTTTGGAGGGGGGGCGGGCTGAGGAAAAAAACAGAAACGAAACGAGAGTCGTCCACTGTTTGCTGGGACAGCCATCCAGTCGCATTGGGAAGGCACGTGAAGGCAGGTGTCTTAATGAAAAGAGCACGTCCACAAAGCAACATTTGCCTGTTTTAATGATTTACGCAAGACGCCGCCGTGGAGCAAGAGCCGGTTGTCTGCTTCCCGTGCTTTATCTGCGTGAGATTCACCAGCTCAGGAGGAAGAAGCGAGCAAAAGCGATGTCAATGTTGCCAGTAGTTGAAAGGGCCATTTATATTTTCGGTGAAGCAGATCCAAAGCGGTTGGTTCCCGAATGCCCCAGCCACCGTCGACATCTTCGAACCGCTTATTCCTCAAGTTCCCTGCTTGGGGATTGTCAAACATAATGTGAAAACAGCACTGCCGTTCCTTTTTATTTTATTTGGAAAAGTGGGTCCTGCAACAAAGTGTTGCAAATGTATTCTCACCTCCGAAGGGCAAGTGCTTCTGTTCAGACTGCCAGCCAGCCAGCGGAGCCCTTCACCAGGAGGCCGTTTCAGTTCTCCCTATCTGAACCCATTTGCGCGCCCGCGTGCGTCTTTTCCTCCGTTTGCATCTGACTCAACATTTCGCGACTCCGGAACATGTTGAGACTTGTAGTTTTGAAGGGGGTACATCTTGCTGGGGGGGGGGCGCGGGGTTGAAGAAAAAACTATCTCCCGCAAGGCTGCCTCGGTTCCCCGAACATGAGGGCACGTCTCTGATTCTCAGTGTCCACTGTTGGCCCCTTTTGCCCTCGCCACCCGCGTTCGCTCTTAGAGGAAGTTTTGCTATTCTTTTGGAACGTACCAGGGCAGAGTGAGAAGGAAGGAAGATTACTGAGTTTGGTGTGGAACGTGATTTATAGTAGCCACGGATTCAGTTCGGCAGGATTCGAACCGCATCACCTGCAACAGCGAAGCGGGGCAAATTTCGATCTGCTGAATTTTAAACCGTGCTGCATAACAAAATGGGTTTTACAATGAGTAAATAATGAGCGCACGAAGAGTTACTATGCACCACATGAAATCCCCAAAGTTGGGGGGAAACGATATTCCCTTTCAAACAGGTTTACTGGATTGCACGCTGGGTCAGAAGGCGGAAGGTCTGGGTTCAAATCCCTCTCTGCATAAGCTTTGCATATTGGAAGCGATGACCAAGTTTTTTCAGTGCTCATTGTCTAAATAAGCGGTATTGGGGGTTATGGGCACACTCCAGACTGTGGAAGTCCTTGCTATCAATTCCAGTTCTGTGTGGGTTATTTATGATTACAGAGTGACGATAGAGTGACATGCTCAAAGGCACTGTTTCAAGACTAGGCACTGTCAACAGATTTTGGGGGTAATCTCAACATTTTACATTCATAAGTACTGCAGAAGGTCCATATTTATGGTTTATGTGCAATGTAAGATAGAATTACATTCAGGATGGTTTTACCCCTTCCGACTCCTAACGTTGCTCTGGGGTAGGATATCTTCCCACATTTCTCATTGGGTCATTGTTTGCGTTGGTGACTGGTGCGGTTATGATCCTGACATGTCCGACATATGCTGCTCCAGCCCTTTGGAGGCTCCATAATGATCTTTGGGACAACTTAGCCATGTCTACTCAGAAGTAAGTCCCACTGAACTTGAATGGGGCTTACTCCCAGGGGGTTAGGCTCGGCAATCCTCTCTAGACTCAGATCTGCGCCAGGGCTCAGTTCTGAAAAGGTGACGCAGCGACGAATGCAAGGGCGCCTCTGAGCGTGTGCAGTACGCCTTTTGCGTCGCAAGCCCGCGCTTAGCTGGGATCCGAGGAAGTGGAGAAGGGATCCCAGAGCGGAATTCGATTTCCAGCGGGACCGACTCCCACTCCACCACTTCTGCTCTTACAAGATGAGTCCTGGAACAATGGACGCTGACGGTGCGTCAATCCTCCGAGGTTCAAGACTAGGCTTCCGTCATAGTGTCCACCCCTCTTCTGCCCAGACCCAACTCGGAGAAAGGGAGAGAGCAGAGCCCTGGAAGCGGTTTTTGTGTGGCGTGGGAGATGAGACCTGAGAGTCAACGTCTTCCCCTCTCCTTCGGTCCTCTTTCAGGTCTGGGTTCCCCCTCTTCCCCCCGATGGGCTTTCTTAATGGGCTGATTATCCCCTTCCTCTCTCTCCCCCAAAATACATAATGAGAGATAAAAGCAAGATTCCGATCAATACAGACAAATGTCAAGACGTTTCCAAATGACATTTTCATTAACTCCCAGCCCCCGTGTTAGGCCTCGGCATATTGAATCAAGTGCTTATAAAATAATTAGGGATAGCGAGATGACGAGCGAGCCGCGGTGCGATCATTCACTCCCCTTAACTACTTTGGATAGACTCATTAAGGGGCTAATTGATTAGGGAAAGTGGCCCGGCTCCTCCCCTCCTCGTGCGGGGCAGGTGCTGTCCTGGTTTACCGCATTAACCTTTTCAGTGCTTTTCAACAGGCTCCAGACACATTACAAATGGTCAGCTTTAATCATGATGTCAGCTCATTAACCCGGAAAGACCCCGCACTGAAACACAATGTAAGGGATCGTCCTTCACTCAGCTCCGCAGCCGGCCCAGGCTGCTCCCTCCAAAGCCTGCCCGGAGAGAAGGGGCCGGGAAGACAGAGGGAAAGGAGAGAGAGAAAGAAAGCCGCTTCTCTCCAGCTCCTTTGCAGAACGAGCCTCCCGGTTTTGTGACATCACACTATCTTAGGCCATCGATCCGGAATAATTTACCAACCTGCATGCCTTATCCGCTGTCACTAAACGCGCGTTAGGTAGACAGATGTGTAAAGTGGGAGACCTTTCTATGGAAAACATCACCCTTTACAGCCATTCTCTGGATTAAAGGTTGCCACGTTGTACGCACACACACTCACAGACACACACAAACCTATAAAGCTGTATGATATGTAGCAGTTGTACAGGTGAAGCTCCCACCTACTTAATGTGCCTGCAACCCTAAACCAGGATTGCTCAGCAGTAAGACCCATTGAATACAGTAGGAGTTTATTCTGAGTAAACATGCATAGGCTTTGCGCTGTACATTTCAGCCTCCCTTGCTGCTCTTAAAGGCATAGAAACCCAGCCAGGGAAAAAAAATTGGCAAGTCTTTGCTGGCTTATAAATATAACTGGGTGGATAGCAGGA